GAAAACCCCAGGAACAGAAACAAAAGGCTAAATGACAGCTCCAGTATCTTTGTCAAGAAAACCCCAGCAACAGAAACAAAAGACTAAATGATATGAAAGATGGGCCCCTCAGGTCAGAAGGCATCCAACATAGCTAATGCTTCCATAGCTAAAACATCTTCTGTAACACATTTTAAAGCAGCACACTCTTAAAGCACCATTAGAAGTGAGCATTTGTCAGATTATTGGTGCATTAAATCCACTACTATAAACTCTGGACTTGGGTCCTTTTAAGGAAAAAGGCAGGTTAAAACATTTTAAATTGATAAATATTTAAATGAGAAATCAACTCTGACTGGCAGCAGCTCTCCAGGATTCCAGACAGGGGTCTTTCCAAGCCCTCCACAAAGATGCTGGGAATCTTAAGCTGGGACTGTTCAGCAACCAGTACTTCCTAGAGGCCTGCTATCAAACTATTGAAAAGACCTAACCTTGCTTAGTTTCTGAAATCAGATGAAATCAGCATGCTCAAGTGACACAGTGGTCTCTTTATACATTTCATTATATGGAAGAGTTCAACAGGAATACAGTGGTTCCTCGCTCTACGATTGCCCCGCATTACGATGAATCCGCTTTATGACAATCTTTTTGCAATCGCAATTGCGATCGCAAAACCATGGTCTAAATGGGGGAATTTCGCTTTGCGATGATCGGTTCCCTGCTTCGGGAATCGATTCTTCGCAAAACGATGATTTTTCAACAGCTGATCGGCGGTTTCAAAATGGCCATCAGGTAAATAAAATGGCTCCCTGCTGTGTTTAGGGACGGATTCCTCACAAGATAGCCACCGAAAATGGCCGCCCTATGGAGGATCTTCGCTGGACAGTGAGTTTTAAGCCCATTGGAACTCACTGAAAGGTATTCAGTGCATTTCAATGGGGTTTTTATTTTCGCTTTATGATGTTTTCGCTTAACGGCGATTTTCCTGGAACGGATTATCGCCGTTAAGCGAGGCACCACTGTATGTACAAAAGGCAAGGAACCACACAGCCTCCACCAAATGTATGACAGGGAACATTCTTCTTACTGAAGTTCCTCAAGCTTGGAGCTCCAACAGTGCAGGGCTCTCAAACCATGTGAAGAAGCTAGCTCTGCCTTCAGAATTTTTATCAATCCACAAAGTCAGGGGGGAGCAAGAAAGGAGCTAATAGCTATGCAACAAGTGGAAAGATATTTCAGAGTGTTGCAAATGTTGCATTTTCTATCAGCGTATAACCAATATACAGTAGTTGCAAAAAATAAAGCTTTATCATCTAGGAAACAGGGTGGCCCACCAGAAAAACATACTTTGTTTTTCAGTTTAACGGAGTCAGTTATACACAAGAGCAGGTAATAACTTAATGTTCAATTAGAACTTCTTAAATACATTACAGCCTAACAAATTGGTTGCACAACACTAATGTTAAAAGCACAGTAATGTTAAAAGCACACTAATGTTATTAGCTGAAAATGGAAGATGAAAAAAGTTGGTGGGATAATAGAATGCCAAAACTGTCAAGGGAGCCAAATTGTTTCTTTCTTTTTCAAACTGATTTTTTTGCCTAAAAATTGAAATGCAAAAAAGGAAACTATTGTGCTTCCTGTTTCACCTCCAAATATAAACAGAGGGAAAAATAGAGATCCTGATAAACCTATTTCTTTTTGGCACACATAGGAAATAATTGAATTCATGAACTTCCCCATATGGACCTCTACCATCCAAATTCACAGGCGTTTCTGAAGGGTAATGAGATGAATAAGGAGAAAGAAAAAAAATCTGATATAACCATGCTATGTTTATATTTACATTGTCCAGAGAGGAAACAGAAAACTTGCAGTAAGTTAGCTGTTAGTATACATACTGGTTTTATTTTGTTCATGCAGTCCTTATGGAAGTGAAGAACTAAGCCCATTGATTTTTCATGAAATCAGAAATGGGAGTTTGATTTCATGCTCTTCCTGAAAACAACAGAACTCCATAAACTGCACAGCTCTGAGAAGCTAGAAATTGCTTATTTGGTTAACTGTGGACAATAACCTACATCAGGCTTGTCCAATCTGCGGCCCTTGGGCCGCGTGCGGCCCAGGTCAGATCATAGTGCGGCCCAATGCAATTTTTTATTTTTAAAGGAATTCCAAAGTTTCAAGTTACACTGCTGGTGCTTGCGGCTGAAATGTGGCCGGGGCATGTCACAACAGTAGAGGGGGAGAGAGAGAAGGAAGGAAGGAGTGGGAGGGGGGGCTGCGGTACTGCATTGTGCTGTCCCCGTCAATAGGTGGACCCCCTCCCGGACCCATAAAGCCACCAGAGTCGAAGCTAGCAGCCTCTGCTGTCTGAGATCGCAGCTGCCGGTAAGCATGCTTGGAGAGGGGCTGCAGAGGACGGCTAGGGCTGCCCCCCCCCCATGCAGCCCAAACCCAATGTATGTGCGGCCCAAACCAAATTTTCATCTTCTAATGTGGCCCAGGGAAGGTGAAAGGTTGGACACCCCTGACCTACATCATGCTAAAGAAATAGCGTGCAACCCAAATTATAAGGCCAATTAACAAAACAGTTTAACTAGTGTTTAAGATAGTTCACTGAAGCCAACGGTACTAAACAGACTTAAGTACAATATCTGTGAAGAGTCTCAGTCATCCAGGTGAGGTTATGTGGAAGTTGAGTCATGGCAACTGGACTTCTTATTAGGTTGAAATGTTTCAATACTCATCCAAGTAGCTTCTTCAGTCTGAAGAGAGTTGGTAGGAGACCCCTGATATATCCTCCACGTTGGTTTCACTTCCCTCTGGTCTGAAAAGGGTCTTTAGATGGACTTAAGATGAATCTTTATAGTTACCTGAGAATAAGTACCTTTGAACAAAAATGAGGCACATGTAGGCTTGCAATGTTAACTAGTTTCTTGACATGGCAAGATCACTCAGGTCCATGTTTTCTAACAGGCACTCAGGGTGGCAGTACGAGTGTGGAATGAGTATGTGAAATGGTTATTTTTAAAAATTCAAAAAAAAAGAAAAGTTGCATCTTGGCTTGCCAGTGTGAATGCCCATTACAAAGGGGACAAGAAGACTCTAAGGGCAAAGACTGGTGAAAATGTTACAGCTGTAGGGGGTGTCTAAATTGGTCAGAGAATACATTAGCATGGGTATCTCAAAGGTCCGACCTTCCTGCAAGCCACTCTTGCTACTGATCTTCCCAAGACTGCAGACAAAATAGCCACTTTTCTCCTTTAAAATGCAAATAGCAGAAGCAGCCTTCATAGAGACTACCGGTTCTGCAGTAAGGACGCAGCCATGAGGCAAAGTTCCGACTTTCCCAAATGCCAGACCGCCTTCAGTATCGAGAGACTATGGTAACGTGCTCTGTATGGAGGTCTTGGAGCAGCGTCTAGTGTGGCTGGGAAGGCCAATTCAAGAGGGACAATCCCTTCCATACTGAAGACAAATACAGTCTATCCCCTGTCCAGCACCCTGATTTTGCTGCTCTCTTTGCCTCGGCCTGCTGAACAAGGGTCTCTTCAAATTGGGAGAGGCCATGATGCACCGCCTGCCTCCAGGCTGAACGTTCAGATGTCAAGGTTTCCCATCTGTTGAGGTCCGTTCCTAAGGCCTTCAGATCCCGCTTGCAGATATCCTTGTATCGCAGCTGTGGTCTCCCTCTGGGGCGATTTTTGGAATCCGACCATCAGCCATTCTCAAAACATGCCCAAGCCAACGTAGATGACCAGGTATACCTTTTTCCCCATAAAACAATAGATACATTCTCAACAAAGCTATACAAACATAAAAGTGCATTTGTGTTAACAAATCATCAGAACAGTTCATGCCACTAACATTGGTTTGTGCTTTTAAGAAATGGCTGTCGGATTAGGCACATCATCGTCATTCTTACCTAGGTGACTGCTTCTTATTTTGGAAATATGCGCTTCTAGTATATGACGTTTAATCTACTTTGAAACAGCTCTGAGTAGTACAGGCAGTTCTCCCTGCCCCAAATGATGCAGGTAACAACCTGCAAGGTAGGTGAGATGAGAGGTTTGGTGGTTCATTCCAGTTCATTTACAATACAAGCAGGTGTTTGTTAGTTCTCTGTCCCACCTTCACCAGCTGATGCCCACTTAGAGGCACCATCCTGGCTTCCCTGCCCCTCCTCCTCCAGGCGCTGCCTCTGATTGGGTGCCCACCAGAGGAGATTGGGCAGCAAACCGCCAACTCCCTGCTTGCATGGTGAATGAACCAACAGAAACCACTGAACCAGCAGTTCGTGCCCAACTGAGTTCAATAGATTTCACAGTCTGATCTTGTCAGTCTTAGTCAAGCAATCCAGCCCTTATTGCTGTACTGGCTGTCCATGCTCAGAAGGTTCAGGCAGCAGTCCATAATGGAGGAGGCAAAGGAAGCATGAAGTCTCGCATAAACATTAGTACGTTGTCATTTTGATAACAAATTAATGAATTCATTCATTAAATTGCATCTCCAGTAGTCTTAAGGCACATATTTTTTTCACCAGTATTATATAACTTTTTTAAGGAAAAGAACAAGGGACTGGCTGTGGGCCAGAGCAGTTTATTAGTCCAATTGTGAAATTGGGGTGAATTTTTAAACATGGATTCAGAATCTCCAACTCTATTCTTTTCAAATGTAATTTCCTAACAGAAAACAAAACAATTTAGAATCATATACAAATATAGCTCAGTGCTTTAACAACCTGGCTGCAGAGCCAAAGGTTAGGAGTTTGATTCTCCACGGTGTGTCCTGGAGTAAAGATCCATAGGGTCCCTTCCAGCCCTGCAATTCTAAGATGGTGATGAAGATGATGATGATGATGATTATGATGATGATGATGATTAAGGCCACACTCTTCCAAATGGACTGTATGTGTTTGATGATTTTGTGGTCTCCAAATTTTAAAAACTAAACTACTTTTGCTACTGATTGAACAGTGAAATGCCTTACTGAAATAGTTATATTTCTTTTAATTTTAGCCTGGAAGAGTTGTGACACTTATTGAAGATCCGGAGGTATAGTAGTTGTGTTTTTATATATTACTTATAGTACACATGCTGGCCTGGCAAACCAAAAGCATATTTTCATTATAGTATGATGCTTTATTTTCTTGATTTTGAAAAAAAAAAGCCAGGAACTTAAAACTGTAACCCTACACACACATACCTTGGAATAAATCTTAATGCACACTTCTCGATAAATATTTATAGGATTAGCTATTAGAAAAACTGTCAATTTTTTTATCCGAAGAAACTAAACTGAGACCTGAAAGGCATGTTGTAATTAGAGATGGGCACAAACTTTGATTCAGAGGTCCAGCCCAATTCTTCACTGCACTTGCACAGGTATTGTGCGGGCACAGCACCCTTCTGTCTCCCCTGCATGCTCACCCATTCCTCAGGCAATGTGCATATCCCTCCCCACCATGACTACCCACTCAAGTTTAGCAGCATGTTCTTCCCTCTTTCCCCCTCTCCGTCAGCCACCCACTCGAACAAGGAGACGGGGCAGAGATTCCTGCAGCGCTGCCTTTGAGTGGGCGGCCAACAGAGGAGGCGGAAGACGGAAGAGCACACTACAAAAGGTGAGTGGGTAGTCGTACTGGGGAGGCCGGGTGGGAAGCACCCATCTCCCATGGAATGGGCAAGAGTGCAGGGGAGAGGGAAGGGCATCATGCCTGCCCAACACCTGTACAAGCACTGCAACAAATTCAGCCAGACCTCTGAACTGAGGTTTGTACTCATCTCAACCTGTAATCCATTTCTTGGAGCCTAGGATGTTGCAAGCAAATAGATTTTTCTTCAAGGGTTACTGAAGCAATTTCTTCATAAGAAATATCTTAAAGTTTAAGGGGGTAGCAACATTCTCGAAGTCCAGCGCTCCCCCCCACCAAGAGCTGCTGTATGATACAGCACCCAAAAAGGAAACTGGAACTGAACTGAAATCTGGCTTTCTACTTGTGCCTTTTTTATATGAGCTATCATATAAGCTATGAGTTATCAGATGTGTAACATTTAATGAAAACTATTTCATTGGCAGAGGCGGGACCTTGGAGGACATAAAATTGGGCATGAGCCTCATCTGCCCAATCCTGATGTAACCAGTCTTATATGGCAGCATACAATACCATTTGAGCCATTTGTCTAAGAAACTAGTTTATTTGCAACTTCTTCACTCTGATCTTAGTAAGCTGGAAGGGAGTAGGACTGTGCACTTTTGAGGTGTCCTTTCATCTTTGTTTCCCGTATAGCTTTCTCACTCTTCTTTCTAATTTTTATCCAAGCCCATGCTGTAGCTTCAATAAAATGGCCTAAATAATTTTCTTAGGGAAAGTAAAAGCTATTGAAAACAGCCTAACAGCCTCCGGCTTCATATGCCAAAGAGAAAAAAATGTTTTGTCCATTCCCCACGCCTCACAAACTGTGTTACAATCAGAAGATGTCATAATGGAAATAATGTTTTCAACCAGTAATGCTCTTTCCTGCATGGCAAGGACAGGAGGCCAAAAAACGCTTTTGTCTGTTCCTGGAATGGGCTAGGTTTAGGGCCAAGAAGCAGAGGCTTACCAAAGTGTAAGGTAAACCAGGCACAAGTAGTCCAGAGCCAAAGTCCAAAGGAGTCCATGTCAAACCAGTAAAATAGTCATTCCAGCAAACAGGGAGAGTTCAACATAAAAAGAAACCTGCAACAAGGCAGATAGGATCGAGAACCCAAAGAAATGCTATTTTCCATTAAACATTGCCCCAATCTGGAGTCTATATAGCCGGGCTGACTGAGCCCCACCCTTTTCTGAACTGCAGGTATTTCAGCAGCTGGTCAGAGAACTTAGCTGCACTGTTTGAAACACTGGTGTCTCTCAGAAAAGAGACGTCCTACTCCCAAGGAAGCCCCTTCTCCAGAGGAGACCTTCCTTGAAACCAAGCTCTTTTACTTACATTCTCTCTCTGGACTTCTATTTTCAGCCTGTTGGATTTTATCTGGGATGGGTCCAGCCACCTCCCACTCATTCTCAGCACCATCTCCATTTGGGGTTCTAGACCTCTCAGGGGTCCACCACTATCTAGAATGTTGGCCTCCTGAATCTCAGACGGTCCAAGGCCCCCAGGAATTGTCAATCACTGACAGATATTGGTTTTGGGAAGCCCTGTTTCTGGACAAGATGTCAGGTGATGGCATACCAGTTTTTTAAGCCTTTTTCCAAATCCACACTTTCCAAAATATGGAGAGAGAGTGATCAAAATGATGGGGCGGGGGAGGGGCAGAACCTTGGCCTGTAAAAGTTAATATAATTGCCAGCTTCTTGTAAAGAGTGTTAAATATCTTTTCCTCCCACCTGTTCACCTCTAGAGATGCTTTCCTGCCCTGGTGAGACTTGTCTCCTAGCCACGTCTGTGATCCCTTTCAGAGCCTGGCTGTGGAGATTTTTTTTAAGTAGACAAAATGCTCTGCTTTTCCTCATCTACTTATAGCAGGTATAATTTTCTGCACAGCGGGAAATTGGAGGAGTCAGAGCTACAAGATTCAGTGGCCTGTTGGGAAGTAGATGCTTTAGAAAACACAGTCCCTTCTTAGCCCTCTGCAAGCTGCAGTCAGCCATCCTAGCCATTCATAAAATTAAAAATGTGATCTTTGTCTTTTCTGGACTTTATCCATGTTCAATGTAAACCGTGATATCAACCGATATTTATACTAGAAGTCTTTAGACTACAGCTGTGTCTTTGGACTACAGTTTCCAGAATTCCCCAGACAGCACAGTAATAAACCTCCACATTTCTATTTTATATGTCCTCGTAAGTTAATCAGAATGTAATATGGCTCAAAAAATAGAACATCAGCTTCCCATTTCATCACGGAAAACTACTTGAAACAGGGATGGTTTCCCTCTAATGCCAACACTGAATTGAAATCGATGTAGTAGCAGCCATAGACTTCAATCGTTTGTAGCTGACAAGGCCAGCAAAATGCAATACAGTGTCTGTCATTGTGACTTTTCTGTACCTTTCTGGTAAGTTTTTTCCACAGTGCTCTGCAGTTGGGCCTCATTATGCTAACAGACAGATTCCTCTATAAGCAAAGAATGGTTCAGCTTGTGTTGAATCCTCTCTCTCCCTCCTATATTTGAACTGTAAAAACAGAAACTCTAAAAATGCAGGCAGCATCTCTCAAAATCTATACTTTGTCACAATCTTCCATTATTAATATACAATGAACAGGAGAGAAAAAATCAAGAGGAGAAACTGCTAAACTGCAATGTTCTTGCCTTAGGATTCATTTTAAATACCATTAAACTGACAAAAGCTTACTTCTTTCAACACTTTTTATCAGTACTTGCAGTTACATGCTGCTGTATTAGCTTAAGCCAGGGTGATAAACAGGAAATGTCTGACAAAGAAGAAAAGGGGATTTTCTACTAAAGGAACAAGAAATTTGATTTTTTTTTTATGCACCACATAAGCCTTCAGAGGATCAACAGCGGCTGATAATCTGTTGCATAGCTACATCTGCATAACTCAACATTAAGCAAGAGGTAGATGTAATAATGCCAAAGCAGAGGTGCTATTCACGGAGCACTTCCACAGGTATATTGCATAATTCGTAACAACAGGAACTGCATGCCCAAATATGCAGTTGATGTGCAGTCCTTGTTGGCTGGGCATAACACCCAGCAAAGTTGCAACTGTATGAACTTGACCTTATGTGGCGATGCACAGGATTCCAGCCATTGACTGTGTTATTTTTAAATACAGTCTTGTTTTAGACTACAATGAGAAGCTACAACAGAAGCAGATTGGGCATAACACCCAGCAAAGTTGCAACTGCATGAACTTGACCTTATGTGGCGATGCTCAGGATTCCAGTGTTACTTTTAAATACAGTCTTGTTTTAGACTATAATGAGAAGCTACAACAGAAGCAGGGGTTCTCACATGTACTTCCTAGGCAATGCAAGTTGGGTAGGGTGAAATATCGGCAGGGGAGAATCAACTGGAAGAAACTTTTCTCTAATAACCTTAACTTTTTCCTAATAACCTTAACTTTTCTCTAATAACCAATCCTCCTCCTGGTTGTCTTCCTTCCAACAGGACAATGAGACTGCAAATCAGCAAGGCTGCTCCCTGCCTGCCTGCAGGCACACCTCATTGGCATTGCCCAGAAAATAAGAATTTCAGAACAGAAATCCCATCTGATTTCTTGTCAGTTCTTTTATTAAAGAGAAATTGTGTGTTATGGATGTATTGTTGATGTAAAGGTAGAGGCAGGCTGAATGTAGAATCTAAAACGTGCAAATGTAACACATCACTGAACCAAAGTATATTTTACCATTTTGATTGTGTTCCTTAACAGGGCTGTGTATGGGGTGTTGCATACAAACTGCCAATAGGACAAGAAGGTGAAGTAAAAGCATACCTTGATTTTCGAGAGAAAGGTGGCTACAGGACTACAGCTGTCATTTTCTATCCCAAAGAGCCCTCAGTGGAACCATTCGATGTGCTGTTATATATTGGAACGTGTGAAAATCCCAACTACCTCGGACCCGCACCTCTGGAAGAAATTGCTGAGCAGATTGTGAATGCTGTTGGTCCCAGCGGAAGAAACACAGAATACCTTTTTGAACTCTGCAATTCTCTCAGGGATCTTGTACCAGAAGATGTAGATGAACATGTTTTTACGTTAGAGAAAATAGTAAAGAAACTCTTGGAACAACAACCGACGAATATTAATTCCCTATACAAATCAATGTGATACCAGACACTCTTCATCTACAGAGTAACTTTCATTGATGATAAACGTATACTTTAGAGAAATTCTATCTGGACTTCAAATATCAGTTTTCATGTTTCATTAATGGCACTACTGTTAGTAATCAGCAAAACAATGTTTATAGTTATATCTACAGGTATCTACAGGGGTTTAAGGGAGCTTTGAATTTTGGTAAAATTTTAAAGAATGCTTTTGTTCGTGTCTCAAATACGAAGAATTATTTTAGGCCCCATTTTAAGTTTGAAAGAAAACTTTACTGGTTTTAAGTTATTTAGGGTTTTTTTTCCTAATTTATTTTTGCTTTTGTTTTGTTTTTGAAAACATGTAGTTTTAGACTACATCCTGCACTCAGGAAGACTATGGATGTAATTCTATGCATTTACCCCTGATCAAGGTGGGTCTAGCTCCCAGTGATAAACATGTATAGGACTGAATGTTTATGTCAGTTTAGACCTGAATCACACAAGCTCAAGAAAAAGGCCAGTGGAACTTGAGCACTATAGTCCTAATGGAGAAATTCTGTGTATACTTACTAAAGAGCAAGTTCCATAGACGTAAGATTAACTGAATTTAAGGTAAACATCCATATGATTTCACTGTGAATAGCAGTTATTCCTATGCAAGGACTGAGTCATTTATAAAGCTACATTACAAATGTTTTCAGAAGCTGCTTGTTTTAGGACTTGTGTATCATTTAGTTCAACACGATGGAAAATGTGGCCAGAATCCTACTAGTGATTTATACTTGTATAAGGGAAATCACTTAAACTGTGGCAACAAATTGCCACTCACTCACAGGTGCTAGTTTCTTTTCTGAAAAAAATGTCCAAGAACACAACTAGGGGCTTATTAATGACCTTGATTTTCCTTATGAAAGCATAAATCACTACTACAATCCTGGCCAGTAGTTTTCTCTAAGAACTATATACCCTTTTAGAAGATAAGGAAATGCTTCAGAAAGGAAATGACACTTTGTTTTTAAGCTCTTCAGAAGCAACAAATGGCTCATGCCAAAGATATCAAAATACATTCTAAAACAATTAAAATGAAGGGTATGACTTAGATCTGTGGTAGCAAGAATATTCTGAAACTCCCATCCTTAATCACTAGACATTTTCCAGAAATATTTTCTATTTGAGAACCTAGTCTTCAAACTTTATTACTATCAAAACAGAATTTTAATCACCACCCACATCATTGCTAATACGGCAATTTTGCTGCTCTTTCTTCCCGACTAATGTACAGACACTATAGTGTCCAAGACCCCATCATGTACAAATCTGGCCTGCTTCAGATCTCAGTCACAGTTAGGACTGGAACAGACTATAGTCTTGCATATAACTCTTTTTTCCCTCTGTGGCAGGATTTCCTGTGTTTTCCTTCGTTATTGACTTTACTAATGGGCAAACTCCCCTTAAGTCACCTCGGTTTTGCTTTGTTCATACGATTTCCCTTTTAAACACTCACAGAGGAGTTCAGATAAAAGATTAGAATTACCTATCACTTTCCTCTGGCAAGGATCATCCTTTTGTGCCATGGAATATAGGGGCTGTCCTTTCCCCTGTCTCCCAGAATGAATGGGGAGGCAGAGGAAACTACAAATCCCATGCTTCCTGTCTTCTCAAAAGTAATTTTTCCAGAAAAAGAGATGGAGGCAGCTGGGAAAGCAGTACAGTGGTGCCTCGCCTGGCAATGTTAATTCGTTCCAGCAAAATCACTGTAGAGCGAAAACATCATCAAAAGAAAATTTAAAAACCCATTGAAACGCATTGAAAACCGTTCAGTGCATTCCAATGGGCTGAATACCTGCTCGTTCAGCGAAGATCCTCCATATGGCAGCCATTTTTGGTGCCTGTAAAGCAAGGAATCCGTCCTAGAAAACAGTGGGGGGCCATTTTCTTCAGCCAGCGGCCATTTTGAAACCCGACGATCAGCTGTTTGCTGATCGTGGTAAAGTGAAAATCGGTTCCTGAAGCAGGGACCCGATCATCATTAAAAGAAAAAACCCATTTAAACCATCGTTTTGCGACTGCAAAAACCTAATCATATAGCGATTTCCTCGTTAAGTGAGCCAATCGTTAAGTGAGGCACCACTGTAAATCGTATAATTAGCTGCATCTGAATCTCAAAGACATCTCAACCTCACTTGGTTTATGTAAAGCTTTTTGACAGAAATTCACATTCACAACCCCCACACTTGGCTTCTATCGTTAATGAACATTTAAACCACATTTTCTTCTACCAGGATTTGTTATTACGGAGCTGGGCAATAGCTCCCTTTGATGTAATAGAGTTGGGCACGAACCTTCCCCCACCTCCCCAGCCAATTACCCACTCACCAGTCCTCTCCTTCCCTTCAGCATTGTGACCAGATCCCGGCAGGTAGCATAGGTTTGCCTGTCTGAGTGGGCAATCAGCCAAGGAAGGTGGGGCAGGGAAGCCCATGCTCCTGCCAGAGACTGGTGGAACAGCCAAGGAGGAATACCCGCCAGCTGGTGAGTAGGGAATCCAGCTGAGGCAGCAGGGGAAGGGAACACAAGGCACCTGTGGTGCCATGCGTATGAACAGGCACGAACCTCCAAACTGAGGTTTGTGCCCATCTCTGTGTTAATAGGACACTATGCTTAGAGTTACAAGGTGAAGGAAGAAAAGAAGGGCAGACATCACAGTCCATTCCAGTTTCAGTGTTAGAGGCGGCCCACTGAACCAGTGGAACTTATATAGGACTATGCCAGAACCAGTGTCATTATTGTGTCAAATCCCCATTGAATCAATGGGCCTACTCTAGTTGTGACTTACTAGATTTCAGCCCATGTTAGCAATTGTTTAACCATTTTGGTTCTCCTTTACTGACTTTTTTCTCAACAACTCTCACCACTGAGAATAATTTTCTAGGATGTAAATGAATGGTCTCATTATTGCAGCTGAAGAATCAAAAGGAGTTTCCGTCCCAACTGTGAATATCTTTGCTTCTCATAATTTTAAGTTAATTTAGGACTTCAACAAAAGCATGTCTTTGTCCTTCGAAATATAAAGGAAGTTCTCTTCAGAATATCAAGCACCGTCCCATTCTCATAAAGCAAAAATGGCTCTTGAATTGTGTCCAGTGTTTACACTACAATCTGTATGACTCTGCATCAGTAACAACAATTATTTATGTTTTTGTGTCTACAAAACATATTGCTTTCTTCCTTTTCTTTTTCTTCAGTTATTTGTGTGTTCTATTCTGCCTTCTCTCCGTTGTAGAAGATGCCTATTTTAAACACTCACAAAATGTTCGTGTGAGGTTTTTGTGTTTTTTTTGGAGGGGGAAGAATAAGGCGGCCTTAATTAGAAGTTACTCAAGATACCAGGACTCCACAAAAATATTTCATTTAAAAATCATTTACAGGCTAGGTAAGGAGAATATTAGAAAAATACTTTATTTACAATAGAAACAATGATGCAAAAGGTTGCTATAGATTGACCCTTACTAAGGGTACAATGCCCCACCATTAAAATAAAAAAAATTATCATAGATTTTTATGAGTAGGATTTTGCCTTAACTAAGTTTCACTATCTAGGATCCAAAAAGCTGTGAAACTAGCAGTGTTTCTACAAGGGAGCTGGGGAGTTGTGTTTCTCAAATAAGAACACTCATACTGTATGACAAGCTACTACTGTCGCTGCAGAAAGGAGTTTTTGGAGTTTGGTCATGACTGTACATGCTCCTGAATATCTGTTGCTTTGGAACAACATTGTGAGGACTTTTCCTTTAATATCCTACTTTGGGATTTCCCATCAACACTTGGTTGGCCACAATGCAGGACTAGGCTATGTCTCTAATCTCCCTTAGCATGAATACTGTTTTACTCGTAATATCTAGTAACTATGTCCATGTCCTCAGGCTTACATCCGAAAGAGCACATCACGAAAGGAAAATAAAGATGGGATAGGAAAAGAAAAAGGAAACAAGCAAAGTGAGATACTTATTTTCAAAGTTACACAGGAGTTCCTCTAACAATCTGCCACAAGGAGAGCAAGGAGTCCAGACCAAATACCAACTAATCTCTCTTACAACCTAGGGGTTGTGACACCCCCCCCCAAGTGGGTTGCAATGTGTTTTCTGGGGGGGGCTGTCATGGGTCACCTTATATGTATTGTAGCCCTTGTTGAATAATTTCTTCCTTGACCTCTCGGAGTGGGATATTAAAGTTCATATGTACCGTACTTTTCCGTGTAGACGACCCCCCAATGTATAAGATGACCCCCTAATTTTTACCCTTGCTGGAGGTGGAGGAGCAGTCAATGGGCAGCCACGAATGGTGGCTGAGCCCAGCTGCTCCTCCGCTTCCTGCTGCCTCCTTCCGTGTATAAAATGACCCTCAAATTTTCCTCTAATTATTTTAGGAAAAAGTCTCATTTTATACACGGAAAAATACGGTATGTATATGTATGAGAAACAGGACCTTTGGGGAAGAAAGAAGCCTTGAGTTCCCGAGAAGGGATTGCTTGACCCTATTAAAATGCCTTTTTATGCAAATCGGACAGTGGATTGCTGCTTACTTGGCTATTATAAAAGGAGGATCATTACTCAAAAAAAAAACACCCAACACTGGGAACCAATGTATTGGAGTAAATGGGGTGGGCCTTCCTCCCATGCATCCTTCTACTGCAGACGGATGAAAGGATTGCCACCAAGAGTTCAAACCTCCATTTGGCCATGGAAACTGACTGAAGGGGGAGAGCAGCACTCGTAAAACCTTGAAAGCACTATTAGGGTTGCTACAAGCTAGTACAGACTTGATGACACATGACCCACATAAAGAAGGCATGGAGAGGCTTAGAGAAGGTAGCAATCCCTTGCCTAAAATTACTCAGCAAAAGCTCTGCCTCATTGCACACAGAGAATGACAGCTTTACACCTAAGCCAGTATACACCACATCCACCTGTATGATAGAAGACCAGATGTTATCTGCCCCCAATTCTCTTGATGTTACCCACTGCTGGGCAAAATTTATACAACACATTTGTTATTTGTGCCATGGTGTTTCTGACACACAAAAGAAAAGATATCACTGCGTATTAGTAACACTTCTCCCTCTTCTTTTCTCCTGTTTGCTGTTGTGCTGTTTACAGGGCTAGTCTTACTACCAGGCAGCTGTCTCAGCTGAACTGGGGTGTCATGAAAGTCCATCCAATTCATAATTTTAAACTTTATTTTATTTTCTTCCTCTCTGCTCTGGGATGGGAGAGACACTTTACTGGCTCAGGTACTGAAATTACTCTAATATCCTAGGCTTTAGCATTAGAGGAATACTTCCAGGGTTGATTCCCTCCTCTGCCTCAGGCTGCAAAATATCTCGGGTTAGGCCTGGTTATAACATCTTGCGAACTACAAAATGAGGGATTTATTTAAATATTAAAGCAATTATGGGTCACAAAACACACCGTGTTTCCCCGAAAATAAGACAGGGTCTCATATTAATTTTTGCTCAAAAAAAAAAGCAATATGGCTTATTTTCAGGGAATCTTTTATATTTTTTTTTTCAAGTACAACCATCTTCATTTATTCAGATACTGTCATGCTGCACAAGGGGGGAGGGCGGGGGTTTCCCTTAACTGGGGCTTATTCTTGGGGTAGGGCTTATCTTACCAGCATCCTGAAAAAATCATACTAGGGCTTATTTTCAGGTTAGGTCTTATCTGGGGCAAAACATTACGTGACATATACACAAAGAACATTATTCTGTACAGCACGACGCCCGCGCTCTGCTGGATCGGTATCCGCGGATTCACTTTATCTGCTGCCTGAACGTATTAAATAATAGAGACACCCACGTACTGGATACGTATTTTCGCGGTGTATTTACCAGAACTAACCACCAGAGGGAGCTACAGACAGAGCTACGTTTTGCGCCCGCTAATTCAGGCCTTTTCGGCGTCGGATTCCCCGCGGATACCGCGGTCCTACTGTCTGAGCGTTATTCTTTTTTGTAATTAAGAAGCAAATGACGTTAGGCTGCCCCAGGAGCACTGAATCGCTCACGGACCCCCTCCTTCCTCCCTTTTCCCAAGTGAGGGCCCAGAGGGAGCTACAGACAGAGCTACGTTTTGCGCCCGCTAATTCAGGCCTTTTCGGCGTCGGATTCCCCGCGGATACCGCGGTCCTACTGTCTGAGCGTTATTCTTTTTTGTAATTAAGAAGCAAATGACGTTAGGCTGCCCCAGGAGCACTGAATCGCTCACGGACCCCCTCCTTCCTCCCTTTTCCCAAGTGAGGGCGCCGAAATCTTCCGCAAAAGACGAAT